CAAAAGCATCATTCCTGGACAAGTGCCCAGCCTTTGAAGTTAGAGAGAATTCAGGCTGTTGGATAAGGAGATCCAGATTCAAGACTTCTGAACATACTTCCCCCTACTCAACAATTTTCACAATAAAGTTACACTCAAGAGGCACTCTAGTTGCTAGAAAAACAGGAAGCCAGAGGAGTGGGTGGGTGAGCTAGTCTCTCTAGGCTGGCCTGAACTCTGGAATGTCAGACTTGTTGGAGAGTTGAGTCTCTCCAGTAAAGGTGTGACCAAGATATCGTTAAGTTGGACACTGACCAACCAGCCTTGCCTTCAAAAAGTATTTTCCCCAACCGTTACCCACACACAAATAAAGTAGGAAGGCCATCAGGCTTGGTTCTCAAGCATTTAGCAGAACAACTCAGGGAAGAAGCTGCTTGGGAGACTTTGTGCTTCTCCATTCAAGGGCTTTCCTAGAATTTGAGATTGACAAGAAACAAATATGAACATTTGGCAGGAAGCAACCATATGTAAAAGAAAATGCTTCCCTTCAAGGTTTTACAAGAGTATTTCTTCATCTTGGCAGTTTGGAGGAGGCAGTGGAGATATGGGTCCCTTAGAATATAAACAGTAACCACCCACCATGCCCTCATGCATACACGTATATATGCATGTATGTGTTTGTGTGTGTGTGTGTGTATATATATATATATATATATATATATATATCATATAGGTGTATTTCATGGGAATCAGGGAGAAATCAGAGGCTCTGCCTTTACCTAGTCCTGAAGGTCATCAATCTGATATGACTTTAATAATAACAACTGCAACCCCAAAACTCATATTTACACAGCAGTTGACAATTTACAAAGATTCTTCCCATTCATTTTCCCATTTAATAAAGATTAATCCAGGATGTGCTGTAAATAATGAAGGGGGTAATTTTTAAAGTGTATTCCCTTTGACTAGCAATTCTGTTTCTCTTATGAATAATTAGATAAGTGTGTAAAGATGTATGTTATACCATACACAAATGGCCACTATTGTTTATATTAATAATAGCAAAAGACTAGAAGAAAATTAAGTTAATATGGTATTCGTTAAAATACTGACAGTATTCTTTCTCAAGAAAATATTAGCAAACCAAATTCAACAATACATAAAGAACCAAGTGGGATTTATTCCAGGTACAGAAGGATGGTTCAACATATTCAAATCCATCAAAGTGATTCATCAAATCAACAAAATGAAAGATAAAAATCATATGATCATCTCAATAGATATAGAAAAAGCGTTTAATAAGATCCAGCTTCCATGTATGATAAAAACTCAATAAAATGGGACTAGAAGGGACATACTTAATAAAGGCTATATATGGCAACTCCAAAGCTAATATTCTCAATCAGGAAACACTGAAGTTTTTTTCCTCTGAGATCAAGAGTAAAACAAAGATGCCCAGTCTCACCATTAGTATTTAACATAGTATTGGAAAACTAGTCAGTGAAAATAGGCCAAAAAAGGGAAAAAATAATAATAGGTATCCAGATTGGAAAGGAAGATTTAAAACTCTCAACATATGCAGATGACATGATATTACATATAAAACCGTAAAGGCTACACACACACACACACACATTTATTATTACAAATAATAAATGAATACAATGAAGTTGCCAGTTACAAAAATCAATATACAAAAATTGGTGTTTCTATGTGCAAACAATGAAATAGCAGAATGAGAAAAGTAAACTATACCATTTATGACTGCATCAAAAAGACTAAAATACCTAGGAAAATATTTAACCAAGGAAGTGAAGTACCTATACACTGAAAACTATAAAACACTGTTGAAAGAAACTGAAGACTGTTCTCCACAATGTTATTTATAATAGCGGAAAAAAAACCAAAAACCCAGAAAATTGAAGGGCCAATTACATGGAAAGAGTCAATTAAGTTATAATACATTCACATGACAGGCTATTATTATGTGGTCATTTAAAATTAAGTTTAAAAATTTCTAATGACAAGGAAAGGGAGTGGTAAGTGGAAGAATTTGATGGAAGGATACAGACATAGCCATGTAGTATTATCTCTTGCATTATTTTATAATCAAAACATACTAGTGTGTTAATGAGGAAAACAATTTATAAAAACAAGATGAAGAATTGTGACCCTTTGCACAATGTCTTTCCCATTGCAATTAGCTTTGTATTTTCTTTTTTTTTTTAACTTTTTTTTTTTTAAAGATTTATTTTATTTATTTATACAAGCACTGGGTACAGTCAGAAGCGCGGGAGGGTGAGAGAATTCACCAGAGCCAGCGCGGGGAGCAGAGCAGGCAGAAGGACTGAAGTACACTGCTGAGGGGAGCAGCGGGCAGCAGGAGAGGTCTGTGCGCCATTCGGGACCCTCCTCTGGTGGCCGGGGAGCAGCCGGGGATCGAACCGGCGCTGCAGAGGCTGTGGGCAGCTTTGCAACCCAGCGCTCAAGCGCTGCGCCACCGGGGAGGCCCTTCTTTCTTCTTCTTTTTTTTTTTGGAAAGAAATTTTATCTTAAAAGCAGCCAAATGAAGTTATCCTAACATATAGGACATGTACATTCAAAGTAAAAGGACTTCATTTATTTGACCTGATCAGTAGTGTTTTACAAAATTTGAAAACCAATCCTACTTTGGTCCTCATATTAACACATCACATAATTGAATGAATTTCTTCTTTTTCCATCATTTTACATATATTATACAAGTTCATATTTTCTACAATTTTGCTTAAAGGGATTTAAATTTTTAACATCTGGATTTTTCCAACATGATATTTCTAGAAGTATTCAGATAAATTGGATGGTTTGGTGTTGTTTCCATACCTCCTTACGGTCTAGCATCTCTTTGCTTTTTTTAAAATTTTATTTTTATATTCCCCATACAGTTGCAACCCCCTTATTTTTACCACAATCCCTCCTTTCCCCACCCCCCATAGTGTGTCTCTGGTTCATAGTTGTTTGTTGATTTTGATTTTTTCTTTCTTATAATTATTCTTTTTCCTGGTCCCTTATTTATGTTTTCTAGATTCCTGCTATGAATGAGACCATCCGGTATTTTTCTTTTTCTTTCTGGCTTATTTCGTTGAGCATGTTGCTACTACTTATGTAAGTTTCATTTGTAAAATGGGGGTGAAGGTGACTGCCAATCTCCCATAGCTGCTGTAGGGTAATGAAAATGTATCAGGCTTTTCTGCTCTCCCACCATCAGGATAGATGATGGATCCTTGCGGTCCTGAATGCATGCCTGATGGCGGGCACCTGGAGTAGGGTGTGGGCAGATGTAGATGGGATTCACCTGGGCTAAGACGGGGCTTTTAAGGGCGGTGTCACGGGGATGCCAGCAGAAGCCAAGAACAAACAGAAGCCAAGAGAAGAAGAGAGAACACGAGAGAACACCGGAGAGCCCAGATAGAGTGAAGACTTGCTGGAGGCTGAGAGGCCCCACCACCCCTGCCTGCTGTGTACCTGGTAAATCCCAATAAAAGCCTGCAAAAGCCACTGAGGATTCTGACTCCTTTACCTGGCCTGCTGGATCAGAAAACCTGCTCAGTGGTGGTTCCTGTCCCTACACTGCTATGTTGATTAAGTAAGATAATGGCTTTGGAAGTGATTTTTTCAAACATTAGAGTACTATTCAGTTCTGAGCTATTATTAAGAAGATCCTGGGCCTCCCCGGTGGTGCAGCAGTTGAGCTGCCTGCAGCCTCTGCAGCGCCGGTTCGATCCCCGGCTGCGGCGAGGGTCCCACATGGCGTGCAGACCTCTCCTGCCGCACCCACTGCTCCCTTCAACAATGTCCTCCGTCTGTCTGCCTGTTCTGCTCCCCGCTCTGTCTCTGGTGAATTCTCTTACCCTTCTGAGCACCTGGTCTGTACCCAGTGCTTGTATAAATAAATAAATAAATCTTTAATTTAAAAAAAAAAAATCCTAAGTGCTGAACTTGGTGTTTTGCAGAAATCACCTATTTAGAAGTTGGGCTTTGCTACCCATTTCCACTGCCATAATCACACTACAGGCCTTTACCCTCTCATTGCCTGAATCTCCACACCAGTCTCCAAGTTAGACCTCCTCTAGTCTATTGTCCTTTTTTTTTTTTTTTTAAGATTTATTTATCTACAAAAGCACTGGGTACAGTGAGAAGCGTGGGAGGGTGAGAGAATTCACCAGAGACAGAGCGGGGAATAGAACAGGCAGACTGACGAAATACACTGCTGAGGGGAGCAGCGGGTGGCAGGAGAGGTCTGTGCGCCATGTGGGACCCTCGGTGCCCGGGGATCGATCGAACCGGCGCTGCAGAGGCTGCGGGCTGCCTCGCAACCCAGTGCTCAACCACTGTGCCACCGGGGAGGCCCCTGTGGTCCCTTTTACCCACCCTTCACAATGTACCAAGAATCGCATTTTGACCATCTTAATTCTTTTTTCCAAACTCCCATAGAAACTTCTGAGTACCCTTCATATAACACACCAATTTTTATTTATTTTTAACGATTTATTTAGGCATACAAGAACTGGGGTACAGGCCAGAGGTGTGGGGGGTGAGAGGAATCATCAGAGAAAGTGGGGAACATAACAGGCAGATCTACTGAAATACACTGCTGAGGGGAGCAGCAGGTGAGACAGGAGAGGCCTGCTGCGCCATGTAGGTTGCTCCCTGGCTGGCAAGGGTGGGGCATGGAATCGAACTCATGCTGTAGTGGCTGCCAAAAGCTTGATAGTGCTTAGACTTTAACCCCTGCACCACCAGGGAGGCCCCACACACCAATTTTTAAATCAATTCTTCAACTCTCAGCTCTGTTCACATATAGTGAGCTTAAAAATTTCAACATGACTTTACTAAACTAGAAAGCATTTGTAGGGTAAATGGAAGTATCAGGTTTTTTCTGCCCTCCCGCCATTAGCATCTATGATCGACACCTGCAGTCTTACACGCGTGCCTGAATGGCGGCACCTGGAGCGTGCTGCGTGTGTGCATGATGGGCGTACCTGAGCCAGGAGACTGAGCATATAACGGCGGCAGCAGAAGACTGCCTGGCAGAGGACCATGGGGGTGGAGTGCAGTGGAGACCAGCGAAGAGGGCACGAGAGAATACCGGAGCGCCCAGAAAGAGTAAAGATTTGCTGGGAGCTAGGAGGCCTGTCAGCCTCCTGGGCCCCAGCCCTACTGCCTGCCCTATGCCTGGTTGTGGCACTACAAATGGTGTAGAAAGATCATTAACTGCCCGAAAGTCGCTGAGGGCTCCAGGACTCTCCTTTACCCATCTCCAAATTTACAGAACACCTGCTCTGCCTTGCTGGCACTACAGGCACGTTGCTTAATGTCGATGTGCCTCAATTTCCTCATCTGAAAGGGAGCTATAAGATACTCAAAATGTGAGAATCAAATGAGTGAAAAGATGGGAAATTCTTAAATGGCATCTGCCATAGTCACCACTATATGTTTTAGGTATCATAAACATTTCCTTCACAGATAATTAAAAGTATTTCAAAATTTAGATCATTAATAATTATGCCCACAGAATTATTTCCACAATGGACTGTGTACTAAGTTTTTGATCTGCATCATTTTATTTAATTCTCACAATTCTTAGATGAAATTGATGGTAGCCTTACTTCACAGAAGGCCAACTTAGCACAGAATTGCATTCAGATCTCAGGAACTTCAGTGTTCACATCCTCCAATGTTTATAAGCATGGAGTTTGAAAGGTAATAGAGAAAAGGAGTAATTGGTAGTTTAAAAAGATAATACAGGATGAGGAAAAGTCAATGGTTTGATTATTTGGGGTATTTCGAGTTTGAAAAAGAGCTACAAGCTTACTAGCACTAATTAAGGACTAATTAGTGACCAAAACTTGAGCAAACAGATAGAGAGTAAGCCAAGTACATCATGTGGGTCTCTAGGGACTTTCTCCTCCAGGGATCCAGACCAAGAAATGGTTAGTGGAGACTTGCCTGTATCTCCAGCTACCTAGACTGCCCCTGGAGGGGAATGAGGCACAGGTATTTCTATGCTGGAATAAGGGAATCTGGAAGACACAGGAAGAAAAGTGATGCCCACAATGCACCTGCAACACTCCTCTCCTGGACATCACTCCCTCTGGTTCTTCATTCCTTCCCTAGGGATGCACCCAGGCACCATCAACACTATCATCACCAGCTAAGGCAAGTCACATACTGCTCTTAAAGAGAAGTCAAAGGAAGATAATGCCTGGGTGTAGGGTGGATGGATTAGTCAGGCTTTCTACACCATTAGCCTCTGTGGCTATCACCTATGGTCTTCATTGTGTTAATGCAGAAGGTGCTTGGGAGTATGGGCGAGGGGTATGTGTGCCTGATTGTGGACACCTGGAGCGGGGTGTGGGCATGTGCAAGTGTGAACATCTGAATCCAGAGGCCAGGGGTATAAGGACAGTGTCACTCAGAGATAGACGATGTACGAAGGGACCAGCAATGTGACTCCAGAAGAGGCGAAACTAGAAGAGGACGTGTGAGAGAGTACTAGAATAGACGCCAGAGGGTGCCAAGAGAAAGAGTGTAAAGATTTGTGGGGAGCTGGGAGTCTCAGTAGCCTGCCAGCCTCCCTGCCCATCCTGTGCCTGCCTCCTTGCATTCCAGCCTCCCTGCCCGGTGTGCCTATGTACCTGGCTCCCTGAGAGCATTAAATCCTGGAAAAATCCACCAAGGGCTCTAGGATTCTCTTTATCCATCCGTCTGAATCAATAATGAATCTTCCCTGTGCATGCTTGAACAACACTGGGTCAGAACTAGGAAAGTAGTATAATGTCACCTTCCTGTTGAAAAGACCAGAAGCAGGATGAGGCAAGTGATGGCTTTGGGGAGTCTTCTAAATTCATAACAAGCAGTGGCAACATCTTGTAAAGAGAAAAGGCCTTGGGGCCAGAAGAATAGCTGTGGAGCTCCTAGTATGCTATTGGACACATAGGTGATGACCTCTCTGTATGACAAAGTAATAAATCCCCTAGGTAAGGAAGTATGCAGAAGACTCGAGTCAACCCCATGTATACCAAGGTTAGGAAAACAGACACCGAATTGTCTTTGTATACCAGAGAGAGACTTTATTTACCTAAATGAATGAGTTCATTTTTAAAATCAATCAGAAAAGATTCAGAGATCATGGGATCTAGAATCACAACATGGGATAGCAAGTAAAGAGTAAGAAAGGAAGGAAGAAGAAACAAATTTCATAGCAACCTCAATGGATGCAGCAGCTGAAAATGAGTCAGTAATGGCAATAAGATCCAGTTGGAAATTTCAAATTTAAAGAGTTAGAAAAAAAAAAATAAATAAAATTGAGTCCTTTCTGAAACGCGTTAATTAAGGTAAGCGGTGTATAAGATGCCGAGGCTCCACTTGCCAAGACTGGTGACTCTATACAAGGTTGAATGCACCTGAAGAAAGGAAAGCCATTTTGTAACTGGCATGAAGGCACCATACAGGTTAATAGCAGTTCAGGAATCTGTGTCCTCAGAGGGTTCCATATTGATAAAAACTATGACTATTGAGACAATATTAAACTACTGACTTCAAATAAATCCAGCTATTTCATCTCTAACTTGATCACTTTTCAAGAACATGCAGCGGGATATTATGAGTTTTATTTGATTGCCTGAAGTGAAATCTCCCAACAGAGTTAAGTTTCAAATGGCAAATACAAATTTCTTTTTGATATGAAAAGAAACCATCATGACCACCATTCTAAACAATTTATTATGCCCCATAATGCACTTATGCAGGGAAGTCAAAAGTTGGGATCAGAATTTTTAAGAATTTTTAATTTTTAAGAAACTTAGTTTCTTAGTTTTTTTTTTTTTTTTTTTTTTTAAAGAGGCATGTTTTTTTATTTATTTATTTGTTTGTTTGTTTGTTTTGTTTATACATGCACTGGGTACAGTCAGAAGCGCGGGAGGGTGAGAGAATTCACCAGAGCCAGAGCGGGGAGCAGAGCAGGCAGAAGGACCAAAGTACACTGCTGAGGGGAGCAGCGGGCGGCAGGAGAGGTCTGGGCGCCATGTGGGACCCTCCTCCAGTGGCCGGGGAGCAGCCGGGGATCGAACCGGCGCCGCGGAGGCTGCGGGCAGCTTCGCAACCCAGCGCTCAACCGCTGCGCCACTGGGGAGGCCCTGTTTCTTAGTTTTCTTTAGTCTTAGTTTAAACTCTCACTTGCCAGATGAGGGAATGAGGGAATAATGGTAGTAACTTGCTAAGGTAAGAGATCATGTAAATAACAATCTCAACTGTAGCCTGTGGGGTATTTTGCTTTGCATAAATTAAAAATCTGGTGAGGGTGGGGTATATGGGTTCAAGTCCCTTTAAACAGAGACTGTATATGTTCTCCATTTCCAGTTCTATACTTGAGATGATTAATAATGATCTCAAATAGCCACTTTGCCACGCTGAAAGAAAAGGGAAAAAATAATAGGCTGAGAAAGAAAGAAATAGCCTATGTTTCAGAAATAGAAGCCTTACCCATAATAGATGGCCAACTATGTTTACTGAATGCATACACAGAGTAAGGAAAATGGAGTAACTCAGGCTCTTTTTTGCCTCCTGCCACCAACCTCTATAGCCACCACATGTGGCTTTTAGTCCCAGGTTTTGTTGCCCACACATAATGTTTTTTTTGTAAGAAAGCACTTGGGAGCGTGAGCACAGGGCACATGCACCTATGAATACCGACACCCGGGCTGAGAAGCAAGAGAGCATGGGTGGACTACAAATATATAAATATGGACACCGAGGCTGGGAAGGGAGAGATGAGAGAGGGGAAAGGAGGGGAGGGCGGGAGGGGAAGAGAGGGGAGGGCAGAGGAACGTGGCCAGAGAGAAGCCAGAGGAGGAGTGCAGAGATGGCAGAGGCTGGGAGGCTGGGTTGCTGCCTGCCTCCAGGCCTCCCTGCCCTCATGCCTCTTTGCCTAGTGTCAGTGTACCTGGTCCCCTGCATGAGCATTAAAGGCCTGTCAAATATATTGAGGGCTCCAAGATTCTTTTCCGTTTGTCCAAATCAACAGTGAACCTTCCAGGCCTAGGATATTTGCTCTACATATAGTATGAGGAAAAATAAGTTAGGAGATGGCAGGGGGCCTACCTGTACATGTGCAGAAGCAGTTTAAATAGCCAGGCTACTGAGATTTCCTATTCTCCCCACAGTGAAATATCAATTGAGATTAAAATCAAAATTATCTTATGTCTGGACACACTCCCCCCAACCAGCCCTGTCCCTCCAAGTATCAGGGTTAATGTGAGATCACCTGAGCACATTGTCTTCTCCAACTCAAGGATCACCAAACAACAAGTTAAATTCTCATCATTCTGCTTTTTTAATATCTAAGATAGACTAGGATGATAATAGGAGATTAACATGAAAAGGCAATTGATACAGTCATTTATTTTCCTTTTTCTAAACTAGAAATCTTATTTTGCTCCACATTGGTCATATACAAAGAGGTGAAATTCACTGAAAGTTAGCGGTAGCCAGGGAAGCTTGGCAGACAGCTATATAAATATGCAAGTATTTCCAGTGAGTACTCTTGGTTACAGGGGCAGAGATGAGAGTGCAGTGGGTAAGGGTGGTTGAACACTTCCAAGGAGGCTCTTGCCTGAACCTGGCTACTTACACTTATATGTGAGATCTCCTAGCTACTCCAGATACAGTCTCAGCGGCTCAGCAGGGACACATGTAAGATAATTAATGTCTTTTTTAAAGGGTGTGTGTGGGGGGGTGTACAATTCTGCCTCTGGTAATATGGACTCTAAGCTCTCAGTCTTGAATAAGGAAAGGGATCTGAAAATCACTGTAGACTGTTTCCTGAAGACACTGTCTAATTTGCTGTTTTAGTCAAAATAATCATTGGTGTAGGCATGTCAAAAACAGAAAAGAAAAAGAGAAGGTGCTCCCTTCCCTGATGCTTTCACCTCACCCTGTCCCCCAATTCCTTCTTCATGGTTTGCCCTCACCTGACATACTGTGTGCAGATCTGGTCACAATATCTCAAGGACAATAACACCAAGCTGTAGAAGGTCCAGAA